TCTCAGAAGCCACTCCAACCAAATATGTGTATATAGCTATCAGCACCCAATATACATTTGTCTATATTTTCCTTATGAAAATATAATAGTATTCCAGCAATCCCAAAACATTTTATAGACCCTGTATTGATAGCACACTAATGGTGCAAAAATTTAGAGTTTCCCTTAAGAACCAATTGAGTTTTTTTGTTTTTGTTTTTGTTTTTGTTTTTGTTTTTGTTTTTCAGAACCGGAGATTGAACTCAGGCCCTTGCGCTTGCCAGGGAAGCACTTATTCCACTGAGCCATCTTCCCAGCCCTGACCAATTGAGTTTTGACTGAAATGTTTTATTTGGTGTGAAAGAAGGTGGAAATCAAAGATACAACCCATAGTGAGTGGCTATAGTACTTAAAGCCTAGGTTTCAGGTACCATGTTTTTCTCTAAGGCAAGTGATACCACTGGACATTCTAGAGGCAGGCTTCCAACCAAAGTGGACAGAAGACATTTCAGGGGCTGTGGATGGCAGAACTCTGGATTGTTGCCATACAGGCTCATTCAATAAGCACCTGTCACTGTGACTATGCTCTATCTTCTCAGTAATGCATTAGGAAGACACCAAATCATGACCGCCCATTATGAAAACTGTACCCCAAAGTCAAAATCACATTGTCTCTCTTTGGTTCAAAAGGAAGAGGAAAAAAGCCCAATTCTAAGTGGTAAAGACTTGGTTAAACATTTTAAACTTTAAGCATGCCTCCTTTCCAACATGTTAGCTCATTATCATTAGGATTTAAAGATAAAAATCTGTTGGTTTTTGACCCTGAGCTCCAGTAGCCAGTAAGATGTGGCTGAGCCTGTCCTATATATCAAAATAATTTCTGCTGACTTTGGACATGCCAGTACTGACTGGGAAATGATGCCTAGTTCAGGGGGGCAGACTGAAGAAGGTAGTCTCTCTGCCTTTTGGGGGTTCCTGGCTTGTCCACTCAGCTGCCTACACCACAACCCACAGGAGCTGAACTTGCTTTTCTCACCTTCAATAATCAACCATTTACCCCTGGAAACTTCTCTCCTCCCCTCCTCCCCTTTCATTTCATCTCATTTCTAACAAGAAAGATCTGAGAACAGGACACATCTGTTTTTAAAAAGCTGAAATGGCCCCTAAAAATATCCAGTTCAACCTCTTCAATGTCTTAGAAAGAAAAGTGGATAACTAGAGAGAATGGTTTAGCCAAAGTTACCTGAGTAACTAAGAGAAAATCTGGAAGCTGTGAGCTTTCTGACATTTCCTGCACTCTCCTAGTGTAGCTCACTCTTTCTTCCTGAGATGAGTTCATGCAGCCCCAGAAACTGGCTGACAGTCCTCTGTAGGTGTTGGTTTCTGTAGTATTTAGCACCAGAAATACTTGCACTAGTGTATTCCGAGAAGTAAGCATGACCAGAGAAAAATGTCAGTGTTCAACCTGAACCCAGAAGATTACAAGATCATTTACTCCTGGTAGAAAGCCTCTCTCCAAGGTTTTGGAGAGAGCATAACCTGCTAAGTAGAGGAAGCACCAAGTCCTTTGTTGACTAAGGGAAACTTAGCAATCTCAAGGGTCCACTCAAAGATGAGAGAGATAATTACAGGCCAGCATTTGGCTCCTGTCCAAAGCCAGGAGGATCATGCAAGACCTTTTGCCATGGTATCTTGCTCCAAGGTGAGCATCCAACAGTAAGCAACTTACGTTCACTCTAGAATGGACCCAGGTGAGGACAGCTCGGCCAGGACGTCATCCTCAGCTCTCTGGAATGTTCACAAATCACCTCATGGAACTTGCTTCAAATGAAACTCTCAAAATCCACCTTCTGTGCTCCGTTAAGGTGTAAAATATTTTGGGCATAAGAAGAGGAGGACAGTACCCTGGAGCAGCCATGCTGGCTGGTGGGGTATGAGTTCATGACTCATTCAGACACACGAGGCTCTTTAAAAATAAATAAATAAATAATTCTTAGTGTGTTTCTGGTACATCAAAAGGCTAGCACAGAGAACAAGAACAAATGCTTTCTGTGGGTCTAGCGTACTCTTTCTTCAGACTCTGGCTTTTGAAGACATAGCTATAAAAGAGAAGAGGACTTATCAGAAGTGATCCCAGCAGAAGCCTAATGTGCCCTCAGAGGCAGCTGCCCCCACCTCTCCCCCCCCCCAAGGCCTAAGGAAGGCTAACCAGGCATTCCAGAGTGATGGTGAGAAAAGTTCACACAGAATCTTGATGCTGTTCGAATGTAAGAATTCACAGCCAGAATAGGGCCCAAGACTAGCAAGGACACCCCTTACATTACAGATGGGAACCCAAGACAGTGAAGCAGGTCTTACTGATCCTGTTTCAGAACAGGAGGAATAATATACTCTGCACATCCCTAGGTTAAAGCCCTATTCTCTGCCTCCTTTACACTCCAAATTTTTTTTCATTTTCTTTATACTTGCCTTGGTTAACATGTACATACTACAGAGAGCAGCAAGAAGTAGAAATAGGTCATCTCTCTCTACTTCTCTAATTCTCTCTCTCTCTCTCTCTCTCTCTCTCTCTCTCTCTCTCTCTCTCTCTCTCTCCCCCATAGTTGGCTGCTTATGGTGTACACAGTCAAGACACAACCCAGTGGTAATGCACAGGGCTGTGATTCTAAGACAAAGGCAAACTGACAAGCCCAGTCCCCTTCCATGCTCCTTGGTCTCCAAGGAATTCTCTTCTTTTATTTGGCAATGATGACTCAGTGCCCTGATGTGAAACCCTCACACATTCTTTATGCCCACTTCTCTGTTAGCCTCCAACCCATTCCTTCTCCCCTTTCTCTTGATCCATCGGTTACTATAAGGTTCTACACACACATAGCCAAGATTGAAACCACGTAGGATCTGTTGGAAGAGGCTATGTGAGAAGGGCAGCAGGAAGAGCGCTGAAGGAGCTCCTTTGTCCAGAAGACACCTTCCCATTACGCCGTTCCAGGTCACTCACTCCCTGAACATCTTTCCAGATCAAGACAAGACTGTGTCCTTCCATCTAGCATACACAGCTCCAACACAGACCAAGGGCCTTGGGTGAAGCAAAGAGTAGAACAATAAGAGAAGTAATTGGCGCAGGGTGATAACAAAAGTTCTCTTGAGGGATCACCCTTTAAGGCTTCCCTCCAAAGTCCTCAGAGGCTAGATGCACAGCACAGTGAGAAGACCCATCCCCAACACCCCTTCACCCAGTTCTCTTCCCAGTCCAGCTGAGTAGCCCTGCCGATCCTTGAATCCAACTGTGGCTACAATTGGAGCACAGCTCTTTTCGATTTGAATAAAAACATTTTGGGGTCTAAAAAAAGCAAAATTATGAACATATAATTCAGTCCCAAACCCTGCACAGGGATACCCATACTTTAGCTGCTTTAGGCTGCCCAGGATATATAGGCTGCACACAGTTCTTTAGTTGGCAGAAAAGAGGGTGAGTCAGAGGCTCCCAGGAGGATTCAGTTAGGAAAAGGTCAGTCCACTAGGTAGATCTGTGCTTGAAGTGAGGTGGATGGGCCCGGTGCCCTGGAACGAGCACATCTTGTCCTCCCTAGCAGCAGGGCTCTGTGCATTTCCTTGTCTTGTGCCAGAGAGGCCAGAAATCTGCTCTGCTGAGGTCCTTGGCAGCTGCACAAAGACAGACTCCCCAGGTTGCTGCGGCACAGGATGCTGGCCCTAGCCCAGATGTTTCATTCTCGCTCCCTGGGCAGTGCTCAGGTCTCGTCACAATGCCCAGCCTGCGGCACTGGCCACTTATTGGACATCTCCCAGAGAAGCCCTAGCCCCTCCTCTGCCCAGCACACAAAAGGGATTTTCTCAGTCCCTCCTTTTCACAAGCTCAAAGGCAGATGCATCAATCCTTCCAGGGGCTGGAAACGTGAGGAGAATGCCAAGGGCCCTGGCCCAGGCACCACGCGTGTATATTCTTCCCTGCTGGCTCTCACCCATGCCACTGCCTGTCTCCCTGGAGTGCACACTGCCCCAGGCTCCCATCAAACCTGGATTCCTTCCCTGGCAGTGGGGCTCATTTAGCACTTTGCAGAATCCTAAGACGTGAGGCTAGGATATAGGAAAGCAAGGGAAAAAAAAAAAAAAAAAACAGGATCAGGGAGCATATCTAATAATGACTGATAACCAACTAATTTGCTTGCTATTGGCCCCTGAAACCTGCTTTGTCCATGTTAGCAGCCAATAGGAGGGAACCTATTTCCCACCCTCCAAAACTCCCCAAGCGTCTGAAAATGGGCAGCAGGATCAAGGAGTCTTTCCAGTGAAAGACAAGTGGCAGTGCCTTGTTGGGGTTCGTGTTTCAGCAATTTATTCTTCTGTGATTCTTTAGTCGAGAAAGCAATTCTTGAAGTTCAGAGGATAGAAGAACAAATCCCCTTCGATTCCAGCAAGGAAGTTGGGTGTGGTTTCCATTCAGAATAGATGTAGTCTGCTCTTGTTTGGGTGTCATGGTGCTGTTCAGTGTCTACTGGTAGGCGCCGTCAACACTTCCCAAAAGCATCAAGACTATACTCTGTAGAATAGAACAATTAGAAAATTGTCCAGAAAGAGAGACAAAGGAGAAGGGCACAGAGGCAAAGGTCAGGGTGGACTGGAGGCTTTCCAAGGACCCTGGTCTTCTGGTGTCACCTCCGGGCTGAGCAAGGCGATGCAGTCTGTGCATGCCCCTGGTAGCAGCAGGCCTCTGTAATAGTGATTATGCGCCACCCTAGCTCCTCCCATCCCAAAGCAAAGATTGTCTCTCTGCAAGGTCAAGATCTGCTCGGAAAAACCTAGAGCTGAAGTAGTGCAGTCCACAGCTTAAGTCAAGGGAATGTTCATATACGTTAATATTTAAGGTTTTCAGAGTCATTAAAGTCTTACAGTTTTCTAAATCAGCAGCTTCTCTGTATTAGAGAAGGTAATCTCTATAGATATAGATAGATAGATATATAAATATATATATATATATGTATATAGCCAAACTGCCTTACAAGGTTTTGTTTTTCTTTCATTTTTTTTCTTTTTTTCATTTTTTCAGTGTTGTATGTGTAGCAGGCACTTGAGTTTATATGAAGATGTTCCCTTCAGTCAGGGAAGGAAGAAAGGAGGTGTGAGGTGGTAAAGGGCGATGTGAGGCAGGGAGAGAGGAGGCAACAGAGTATGGGTTTTGGACCACCAGCTGCCACTAGCCAAGAATGTCCAGGTAGATTGGGGTGGCCTTCCCCAAAGCATGGAGGATTTTGTAAATCTCTTTGATATTCAGCCGCTGCTGTGGGTCCCTCTGCCAGCAGCCCAGCATGACGTCATATACCTCTTTAGGACAGACTCGGGGCCTCTCCAAGACCCGACCTTGAGTAATGCATTCAATGACCTGAAAGAGAAGAGAAGAAGGAATTTATAGTTAAAGACTAGCTTTAACACATTCTTGCCCAGCAAAAGGCAGCAAGTTCATTAATAGCATTCACGCAGCACAGGCAATCCCCAAGCCTGGGCTCCAGGCTGTGGCCATTTTCATGTGAGTCTGTGCAGTGGTTCTGGGGGCAGCAATCAGCACAGGCTGAGGGGGCCCACCACTGTTATTTGATCACTACCTCTTGGGCCAGGCCCACACTGACGTTGACTCTCAGGATACCCCTTTCCCTTTTACTTCATTCTTTTATAGTCCTGGATTTCATCTGTGTTAACTCAGTGGCCTGATCTTCCACTTACTTGTGGTGATTGATTTCTGAACTTTCCTTTCCCTTCTTATGGGTCTGTGTGACTTCCAAACTCCTGAGAGTGACTCTACACTTCTCAGTTCCTGCTCACATATTTCCTGTTAGTGCCCACTTCTCAGCTTGTTCCATCAGTCACAGTCCCTGTCTCCACAACCAGGCTTGCTTCTGAATGTGGAACCCTTTCTTTCTTCTTCTTTGTAAAGAACCATGTATCTTGTAACTTTTAATGACTTTTCTGTTTTGTTTTGTTACTTTTCATTTTTACTTATTATTGAATTTGACAGTGTTTCCTTGCTCAGTTCTTTCCTGCTTTAGGGACTGGGAATTTTTTTCCAATGGGAGCCCACTGTCATAATTGTGTTCTACATGTATTTCTGATACTACCGTATTATCTTGGTTCTTATACTTACTTTGTCAGACCTAGTATTGGCAACTCCTTCAAAAAACTTTCACTACTTTTAGTAGGTTTGTT